TCCAGGTGGAAGGAATAACTGAACATGAGCAGTGGGGCGGTCAAGGAGCCCTCAGGAGTCAGGCAGGATGACCTGGGAGTGGCCTGGGCAGGGAGTGAGGGAAAAGGGAAATTTGGGCTATTTGTGAATATTCATTTTAACTATGAAGTGGATAATAAAGGGATTTTTTTCCTTTTTTTTTTAAGGCAGAGTAGAATTCTATAAATGCAGTGCCTCTCTGTGTGAGACCATGGCTGGACTCTGGACAGACTGCAGCGGGTAACCTGGTCCTGATCTTCCAGGAGGTGCTGGTCTAGGAGCAGGAGGTAAGATAAACCCACACACCTGGCAGGGAGGGAGGTCAGCATGGTTACGGGGCGGGTGCCCCTGAGTGGACCTGCCCAGGGTGGCGGTGAGGGGGGTGATAGGTCCACAGGGAGTCAGGAGAGGAGTGGGCAGCGGGAGAAGAGGGGGCAGCGGGAGAGGATGCGGAGTAGCAGGTGAGCATCGGGGGCCATGGTGCAGGGGGCGTGCATCGGGGTGGCCTGTGTGTGCAGGTCCGGCCCTGAAGACCGCAGAGCACTGTGCAGACTCTGGGTGTCAGCGGTGAGTTGGCAGAACTACCAGGCACCCCTCCCCCTGGGAGGCGGCGGATGGGGCGGGAAGTGGTGCGGGGCTGGAGGTGCACAGTGGAGATGGACCGGGGACTGGGGGCACACAGGGCATGTGGGTTTCACTCGTGCACAGGCGGGTGTCTGTGAGGGGAATCCAGATTAACACTCGGGGATTAAAGTGGGGACATGGGCCTTCGGATTTGGACTCATCTGGGTTCTGTGCGGGGATCAGGATACCCGAAGGGCAGGGACTGGGGCTGCATCCTGGGGTGGGATTTTCTGCGTCAATCTGGGCACCACGTGGACTGAGTTGGGGAGGAGGGATGTTTCAGAGGACAGGGACCCCTACTTGGTACCACCGACCACCCCAGGCTTCTCCCAGGCCCGGGTCACCCGCAAGGGGGGAATGACCACCTCCCAGACCCTAGCGTGTGATGAAGGCCGCTTCCCTGGAGGGTCCATTGTGTCCTGGATGTCACATTCCCTAGTGTCGAAATTGTCTTCGTCTGTTTTAGGGTAATTTTATGGAGACTGATAAAGTAAAGCTTTAACCTGAGTTAACCTAATTTATAAAAAGCCCAGGTGTATGTAATCCTTTGGGTTAAAAAGAGTACTGAAAATGACCTCTCAGAGCAGTATGCACAGTAAAACAGAATTAGACAGCTAGTGTTGCTACATTGATAGTTTTAC